AAAATGACTGAAATTTAACACAACACCACAAACTCATTTTTACTGTATTTTATTTACACTACAAGTCAAAAGTTATTGAACAGTAAGATTTTTTATGTTTCTTACAGAAGTCTCTTCTGCTCACCAAGCCTGCATTTATGGTAAAAATTTTTTAAAGACATTATTGTACTGTAAATGCCATTACAGTAATGATACTGTAAACATTTTTACAGTAATTTACTGGCATCCAGCTGCCAGTAAGTTACTGTAAAATTTACAGCAACCTATTTACAGTGTATAGTTTTAGCTTTAGTGGGTGTTACTTTGACAGATGATCCATTACTACAATTTTGTATATACCATAAATTCACCACTAACATATTCTATGTTGTTTTATTCTATTTTACTTGTCCTTTTTTTAACTTGCCCTTTTCTTTTATATTTCTCTTTACTTCCTATATTACTTTCTTTATCTGGCTTCATTTATTTTCTGTATTGTATATTTCATTACTGTAAGTACTGTGTAAACACTTACTGTAAATGCTGACAATCATGCCAATAAAGATGTTGACTCTTATTCTGAGAGAAATATAAAAAGTGGCATCAGCTTTCTTTTCTGTGTGTTTGCCCCTAAGTCTGTCCGCATACACCCCCAGTAAACTCCCTCGGGTTTGTTTATGTTTCTCTTGCCTAAACAAGGAGGCGTGGGCTAAATTTGCATAATCAGAAAAGATTGGTTATTCTGTAGCAGCAGTGTCGTTAGGTTTACAATGTCTTAAGATAACATAAACAGATAACATCACCTAATGACTGTATAATGTAACTAGCCCTTTAGTGACCCATTGAAACCAATAGAGCTCTTGGTTTCTGTAAACAAGAACAGAAGTTCTAAACAATGCATTTACCTCATTAATGGAGCTAATAGCCTTCTGTTATGTCAACCACAACAAACCATTAATAGGAACTCATGAAAGTGGTACACCTTGAACATACAGAAGTAAATGCAAGCATTTCAGGTTTTGCAGCGCTTGGGGTGAAATTTCTAAAAATGTACAAAACAACCGCAAACTTAACCAAACCAAGTTGCCACACCAAAAGCCTTCCATATAGTTAATATAGGGAGTGAATAATGTCTTGCTTTATATCCACAAATGCCAAAATATGTATTTTACATTTTTTTTCAACTGCTTACACACAAAATCTTTACTTGTCACACAATTTCTGAAACCTGACACTCAAACAGCAGAACCACACACCAAATCTGCAAAACCATATACTAATTCTCGGCCTTTGACTCAGTTCTCAATTTCATAAAACACTTTTTGCAAAACACAACACACAATTTTCTATGTAACACACAAAAATCTAACAGGAATTAATATTATGGCAAAAGTGTTTGCAAATGTTTGCTTTTGAGATGTGATTGTGATATTTTGAATGCCGCGCTTCATTTTGCAAGAGATGTGAGGAATTTGGCATTTTGTTTGTGCAATTCTTGGCTTTGTGTGTAAAGTTTTTTTTTTTTTAAAGGCAAAGTTTTAAAAATGTAAGCAGTTGAAAAAAACTGTAAAAGTATGGTTAAGTCTAGTGTTTAGTAATTACAATTAGTGTACAATACATGTAAAGGAGAAACAGATATTTCAGCAAAAGTATATGTGACCCTGCACCACAAAACAAGTCTTAAGTTGCAGGGGTATATTTGTAGCAATAGCCAAAAATCCATTGTATGGGTCAAAATTATTGATTTTTCTTTTATGCCAAAAATCATTAGGACATTAAGTAAAGATCATGTTCCATGAAGATATTTTGTCAATTTCCTATGTAAATATAACAAAACTATTTTTGATCAGTAATATGCATTGCTAAGAACTTCATGTGGACAACTTTAAAAGCGATTTTCTCAATATTTTGATTTTTTTGCACCCTCAGATTCCAGTTTTTCAAATAGTTGTATCTCAGCCAAATATTGTCCTATCCTAACAAACCATACATCAATGGAAAGCTTATTTATTCAGCCTTTGGATGATGTATTTAAAAAAATTGACCCATATGACTGGTTTTGTGGTCCAGGGTCACATATGTGATGTGATGTAAAATTGTGGGGAGACTAGGGACCATAAATCAGGTATTTTTTTGCAAAGTGTAAAAAAAAAAAAAAGAGAGAGGGTTGTGATTAGGAAAAGGGGAGGGGTTTAGAGGGTAGAATATACAGGTTATACAGCATAAAAACATTATGTCTGTAGAAAAACATGAAAACCCAACATGTGTGTGTGTTGTCAAATACTTAAAGGGTTAGTTCACCCAAAAATGACAATTCTGTCATTAATTACTCACCCTCATGTCGTTCCAAACCCGTAAGACATTCGTTCATCTCCAGAACACAAAGTAAGATATTTTTGATAAAATCCGAGAGCTCTCTGAACCTCCCATAGACAGCAAGGGTCCTAACACGATCAAGGTCCAGAAACATAGCAAGGACATCGTCAGAGAGCTCTCGGATTTTATCAAAACTATCTTAATTTGTGTTCCGAAGATGAACGAAGGTCTTACGGTTTTGGAACGACATGAGGGTGAGTAATTAATGACAGAATTTTCATTTTTGGGTGAACTATCCCTTTAAGGCCAAGGTTTAATACTGTACACCTGTAAACAATTAAACTAAATTTGGGTCCATTCATCTGAAAGGCACAGCAGCTCTCCCCATTGACACTTTGCATTTAATTAGCATGGCTATTTCTGCTAAAACATCAACACAGCGCAGATATGCTAATACAAGGCTACACTGCAGACGCGCCGGTAAAATGCTCCATCAGCTAAGAGAGTGGCTAACGTTAGCATTAGAGAGAACTGGATCGAACACGCTCAATGACCTGGACGGTTTTTGGACAGTCAGCATTTTACCTGGTATGATGCAAAGAACTTCAAGACAAGCAATGTAACACAAACTCCACCAATGCATATCATTACTGTAGCAACAACATATAAAGTTGTGGTTTATGAATTACATGAATTACATGCAAGTTTAACGTCATGGCAGATTAACCCTATATCTGAAATATTATCCTGAGTAGGACATTCAATCATCTTGGGTGTACACTGGTATTTATAAGGGAGTTGGGTACATGTTCATATACATGGCAAAGGCTGTTTACTAGCGTTTTACACTTCCAGTACTAACAGTATGAATTAGGTTCGCCTTGGAATATGTGATAGATATCTGACAGAAATGTGTGTAATAAGGATTAAAAGCGTTTTCTATGTCTATTTATGTATATGTGAAGATGTTGTCCACCCTTTCCCTGTAGTACTGCTATCAACGAGCCTGTCAAAATTCTAGGCTGAATGTTTCAGTTTGGAAAAACAGAGGTCCTCCCTATAACTGCCAAACAGTCATACTCCTACACACATACACCCAAACATAGACACACTAATCCAAACATACATACACACTGCACACATACAAACATTCATACAAACCACTTAAATGCTTTTTTTCATTCTCATCAGTAATCCATATTGATTGTGTGTACAGCATGCGTGCCCTCTGCATGTGTACATACATCTGTCTCATGAAAGCCTGGAAACAATGCCAACACATTGCAGCAGAGAAACAAATGCTCAGAATTATAGTTCATGAGTAAACATAATATATACACAAAGGAAAACGAGAGGGAGATTATGTGAGTAAATCTGTGTGTTGGCATGTGAGAGAGGGAGGAACAGAGCAATTTTACAAAATGTAACTGCAGATGATGCATTTAAATATCTGATCTGCCTTAGGTGGTGTTTACTTACACATCCAAAAGAGGACAGAGTGAAAAATAAATCTTATTATTGGCCTTCCTTATGAAGATGTGTCAACAAACACATAGACATAGTCATCTAAAATTGGCTATATGCAAACATATACACATGGCCCCTTGAGTGTTTCTGTAATCTTTACAGTTTAACCCTGCATATTACATGAAAAATGTATATTTATGTCTATACCACTAAATCTATATAATCATTACACTACGTAAAAGTACAAATACAATTATGCACAACGTAAACGTATATGAAAGTCACGGATTATTTGTAATTACTCGTTTCTTTTACGTAATAATAATTAATAACATTCGTTAATAACTTTTGCATGCCAGCTGTCAGCAGGTGAAATAGTGGTTCACATGGACGGAGTGAACTCAGTTTCAACTTCGTTAGATTGATATAATAATTGCATAAGAGATTGTAAATCGTGCAGGGGCACTCTACCTGCCCGGACAAATGTGCGCGGCACTGCTCGCGGAATGCACGAGTTTATGACAGCGGAGCGCACGTGGCCCCGCGAGCCGCGGAATCATCCCGGGAGAAACCGAATTAAAGCGGGCTAGATAATTTCAGTGGGGGAGGAGGGGTCGTGCGAGGTTTGCGAGGGATATTTCTACGTCAAAAGAAAAAAAAGATTAAAAAAAGAGGCGTCGCTGATGCTCGCGCGCCAGAGGACTCAATGCGTGACCCGTGCGAGTCTCCGCGTAAAAAAATAACCTAAAGTTTGGGAATAAAAAGCGCAACAACTCACTCCTCCATTTAGCATATAACAATACAGCACCGTGTGAATTGCGAATTAGATGTTTATGCTTTCTCCTTTGATCACCTCACAGAAAGTGTTTACAGATCAAACGCATGAAAAAAAACGCACAAAAGCGCCTTACCAGCTTTGCAGGGATCCTTGTAGTCTATCGTTTCTGTTTTATCCTCTTCATAATAATCATAACTGTCATCATAATCTAAGCAGCTGTGCAAGGACACTTTGCCCCAAAAAGTCAAGCCGGCCAGCAGGAGCGTGATCCAATTCATTTTACTGGTCAGTGCAGAGTGAAGGCAGTTCATCTGAAGTTTGAATGAGCGCGGATCAGAGTGGAGTGTCTCGTAAGGGTCCGGTAGTGGTGATTTAGCGCAACACGCGCCGTGTGGACATTATCATCTTCATTATCATCATTGGTCCGGTTCGACAGACGGGGCAGGACCGTCAGCGTCGCGGCATCTCAGCTGGACGCCCAATGCATCGATATGAACCGGCAGATACCAGCTCACTTTTCTTTTCTCTTGCACAGTCAGATTTCCTAAAGAGGCAGAGCTGCAATGAAAGCCAGTCTTTAAATGAAACAAGTAAAGACACTGGTGGCAGGGGGTGAGGCGTGATGTACATTTAAATTAATATTTAAATTAAGATGTTTAACCTATTTAAATGAATGAGAGCAGGGTTTTACAGAAGCTCAAAATCTTGATAGATAGACAAATAGATAGATAGATAGATAGATAGATAGATAGACTTTCCTATGCACACAAACTACTTACTTCTTTAAGAACAACAACTATACATCTTTCGTGCATTATAAAGACAGGAAACTATCTGATTTTAACAATACCAACCGAGTTCACCCAAAACGAGCCGGTAGCTGTAAAAGTCACACTCTCACTAAAATTTGAGCAATAATCCGGCAAAAACACTGTTTTCCCGTCGCCTATACAAAACTTCAGGATGTAACGCAAGTTTCATGTAGGTGAGATCGTATTTAAAAACTGTTATAAATACAATAGTTGCTTTATTAGGAGGTGACAGTAAAAGCGGCTGTGGTGTGACATTTAACAAACCTGTTTAACTCCCCTCATAAAGTAGGTCTGTCTCTCTCTCCCTCTCTCTGTCACACACGTCTCTGAACTAAAAGCAGTTTCTCAGTGTGTAATTTGCTGCGAGAGGCTGCTTTAATTTGGACAGTGTGGACCTCAAAATAGCTGCAGCCTGCTGGAACAAGGAAGCTAAGAAACACTAGAAAAAAAGCAGGCTATTGCTGATTTATACATTTGTTCCATTCAACACATCTCGGTTAGAATATACAAACTTCTGTGACTTGAGTGAAGTGACTGTCAAAACGCCGAACGGACTTCATGCAGGCAGCTTTGAGCTCGTTTATCCACTCTCAGGTCCTGACTAATACAGTTTACCGGCCATAACCCCGGGGCCTGGTCTCCTTTAACGCCTATTTACCTCAGGAGAGTTTACTGCGAAGCCGTTACGGTTTAAGCGCAGCCGTCACATCTGACAGAACAGAGCGCGCCGCGTCCAAGTAAGCGCGAGGAGACTCGAACCTTTATCGCGCGCTACTTTACAAACATAAAGAATAGACGCGCCGTACGTTTAACACCGTGGCGTCAAACCTTGTTAAAATATGAGAGAGACGGAGTTTACCTCAGAGAATCTCTCTCTCTGGAAACACTTCTTCCACAGCCACTGGAATATTATAGTGCGCTTGCTGACTGGTACCGTTTATTCCAAACATGCCCATTTCCCTGGAGATTAACGCGTCTCTCTCTTTCTCCTGACACACAAACACAGAGATTAATATCCCCTCCCTCCCTCACAGCAAGGTAACTGTGTGTTGACGTCACGCCATCAATCCATCAAGCTATGCCTCACTTTGCACAACTCATGCACTGCACGACAAGAGCACTAAATGTTTGTAGACGGGCTTTATGTGGTTAAAATGATGAATGACTACAGCATGCATGAATGGCCGCTAACATCCTTACAGCAGTCAGAGGGAGTAGGTATAGTGGCTAAACAATTCAGTGCAAAGATGGTCTTGACAGGAGGGGAATCTACTTGGTTGGGTGGAACAGGAAAGATACTCTTAAGTAAAGTAGGCTATGTGTGAGTGCATTTTGCCTACATTGTGGGAAACGAAAACACCTTAATAAACAATAGAACATATTATTTATTTTTCATGTATTTATTATTCATAGTATCATTTGTTCGATTACAAAACAGTAATATTGTGACATATTACTACAATTTAGAAAGAGCTGTTTATTTGAATATTTTAAAATGTAGCCTAATGTATTCCAGTGATGGCAAAGCTGAATTATCAGCTACATGATCCATGATCCTACATGAAATTATTCTAATATGCTGATTTGGTTCTAAGTTATTATAGGCGCTCAATTATTAATAATGGTTCTCATTATCAAAGTTGAAAACAGCTTTTGCTGCTTAATATTTTTTGTGAAAATCATGATGCATTTTTGCAAGATTCTTTGATGATCAGAAAGCTCAAAATAAATCTTTTGTAACATTATACATGTCTTTACTGTCACTTTTGATCAAGTCAATGTGTCCTTGATGAATAAAAGTACTTTTTTTTTTACTTAGCCCAAATTTGTATCACAATTTCCAAAAAAAATAATATTTTGAGATTGATACCATGCACTGCAAATCTTTCCTGTTTCTTATTCAGGGTATTACATTTAGGATCGTGAGACAATGAAGACTATATAAATGCAGCCTTGGTGCAGATAAGATATTTCTTTCTTTTTTTTATATTATTGTACACACACACACACACACACACACACACACCATAGATAGATAGATAGATAGATAGATAGACACTGTGGGGACCTAAATTGAGGTCATGCATGGGTAAACAAGCTTATAAATCATACAGAATGTGTGTGTTTTTTGAGAGAATGTAAAAATGCACAAAGTTTTCTGTAAGGGGTAGGTTTAGGTGTAATGTTCCTATAAATGGTGAAACATGTTGAAAACCATCTTATAACATCATCTGAGGTGGTCTTCATTGTTTGAAATCACCCACAAAAAAATCTCTTCCTTTACATCAACAGATTATATTTGGGGTTTAGATTATGTTATAGGTTTAACAAATATCCTCTGCTATAAACCGTTGTGCCAATGAGCTGTCCCTTCTAATACAGTGAAACCAAGTATGTAATGTAGTTATTTCATAATCACACTCAATCATTTTTCAGCCCAGTGCATGCCAGCAGCTAAATACTGCATTTGATGAGGCTTTCCATTGAAATTAATAACCTAATTAAAAGTGAGCAAAAAACTATAAAGGCTTTTATAGAATGTGGTACTATCATGAGTCCTTATAAAATCACTACACCTCACTAGTCTAAATAAACCACTTATTATATATCACATGTGACCAGGTAAAGTGCAGCAAATTGAATATATTAATTGATTTGAAGATGCCACTGCTCCCTGTACATACTACTAGTAGAAGAGTAGGTTATGAGCTCTTAAACCTAAAATGTTTGAATTACTCTACTGGAATCTCAGTGCGGGTCTTACACTGCCAGTACTCCAACACTAATCAGAGGTCTATTAATCTGATCCACAGTAACCTCAGCAGCTATCCAATGTTCATTGGGATGGAGGCGTAAGTGAGAAAATGAATTAAATAAAGAGGTGATTAGTATGGAGCTACCAGATTAACTGACATAGGCTACAGTTTGACTTGTCTTTGAGTCTGGCTGAGAGTGGACTTAAAATGTGAAGTCACAAATATATTGGTTCTTTTTGGTTCTTAATGTAATAAAGGCCCAAATTTAAATACATTTTTGAATAAAGTCTCTATATTTCTAATACTTTTTTCCATAAATGTGATATGCAATACATTTTGGCACAAATGTCAAACATGTTTTCATAGAACATAGAGATGTAAAAGCCATGACAGACCAAACTGATGGTTGGCTGTCATTGAGCATCTGTTGGTCCAGTTTTTGCTGTGTGTTCTGCACCAGTGGAACTAGTCAGATCACCATTGACAGCTTTTCAGCCAATTAAGTATATTGTATCAGCATCAGAGCCATTGTGCAAGAGATCACACTGATTGATTATCCTATATGAGCATTCCGATATGTGAATATTTTCATAATGACACGGCTGTCTGGAATGAAATAAGTGAAGATGAACTGATCAACATGATTTATGTTGAAAATAGTTAGCAATGACAAATATAGACTACTGCCACCAGCTGGTATGGAAAGTTATTTCCTCTCATGCAAGCACAGAACATACATGCTAGTTTGGCACTTGGGTGTAGTCTTTGCGGTGTGTTCTTCAAGCTCAATTTTTTTCCAGTGGAATACAGTGGAACGGGGTGAAAAAAAAACTATTATGTTTCACAAAAGATACAATTTTTTAGCTTGGAATGACATAAGTAAATTATAACTTCTTCTTTTTAAGCACAGACCTGACAGACATATCAAGCAAACACTTGGGCAGTTTTTGTCCAAAAGAGCTCATGTAAAGAAACAAGAAGGACAAACAGCTAATAGAACTATAATTTATTGTAAAGAATTTTAACTATTTGCAAATTATATTTGCATCATACTAATGTTTGTTCTAACCACTAAACCTCAACCTAAAAACACACTTGAATCAAAGTTTTACCACATTCTAGTTTAAGTCTGTGTATGACTTTACAAGTGATTTACTAAAAGGCAATCAGGAAAGCCAGGTAACTACTTCATTCAAATACGGATTCATTCTGAATGTTATGCCTACTATGCGGAATGCTCGCGGTCGGCATCTAATTACCGCGGTTATGCGGTAATGCGGTTATCGTCACAGCCCTATGCTTACATGAATTACATGAATTATATATTTTTGATTCAAAATGGGTAACACTTTAGAATACTGTTCTGTAATTAATGAATAACTTCACAGGAACAAATGACTAATGCACTATAAGCATTCTAGTAACTACTATTAACTAACAAGAAACTCTGATTAACGAATCAGTAAGTAATAGCGCTCAGTTGAAACTGGTAGTTCACGATTAGCCAGGGGCGGCGCCAGAGAATTTTGAACGCAGGTGCTGAGGGGGTGCTAGATCATTGACGGGGAGCTGGGCAATTCAGGGCTCCAGACTCAATCTTCCCACTGGTCGCTCTTTTGCAACTAACTTTCTCAGTTGGTCGCATGAGCACATTTTTTTTTTTGCTACAACATGGGATTAATCAATGCATGCTGATGAACTTTTATCATAGTTTATAGTTAAATGGAAACGAAAGTGGTTAACATTCAACCAGTTCTTTTTTATCAGTAGTATTATTTGTGATTTGAATTTTGTGAACGGGAGTTCCACTTTTGCTATGTTATAAGCCGGGCTTCAGATGCTTTCACTTTCGATTTCGCGATCTTGTCACGTTTTACAATAAAAGATAATTGTCTGTTTTGCTTACATCTATACACCTTTCACTTTTTAAGACTAAAACAAAAGATGGATTCATTGTTATTCTTAATTAAAAAGCA